TGCTAAGAATCTAAGGTTGAACTTAGAAGGTGAATTTGGTCTTTAGTCTTGTGATTTCAGCTGTATCCATAAGTACACATCTAATTAAACTAACTTAATTTGCTGCCTCCAATCATAATTAAAAAGTTATTTCAATTTTCTCCTGTAGCTAATCATATATAGCTGAGATCTTTTAAAAACAAATCATTTTGAATTGCATATAGAAAGTCCTTCAGATGTGCTGGCACTCATTTTAATTTTCTTGCTTCCTGAGAGACTCAGGGTAGTTGTGGCACTGCTTGCATGTCTTTTGCATCATATCTGTGTGTTATTTTTGCACAAATTGCTTATTAAACTTGTCTTTTGTGTGGTGCTGCAGCTTTTGGAAATAGCACAAGTGCCTGATGATCATGTGAGTTGTATCTTCTGTTTCTTCCTCGTTTTTCCTTTTGCTGCTTTATATGTAATAGTGATTAAAAGGCAAGTGACTTAGGTTTATAATACAGTTCTCTAATTGGACTAGAATCTATTATTGAAATGTATATATCCATCTACATCTCCGTTATATATGTAGCTAGTGTCAAGTTGCAAATGTTCATTTATTCTGGTATGTGATCCTTGTGTAGTTTGATGTTCAACTTTCACTTGCTTGATGCAGGTCAACGAATTGAAAAATTTAAAATTTTCAACACCAACAACTTGTAAGTCGGAATAGTCTTATGGCCTACTCTAAGCTTTATATTGGGCACTTCCTTGTCAATGAAGCATCATGTGCTGACTGAATCCTTACTGTTGTGCAGGTGGGTGAACCTGAATGATATTAAAAGACTTGTAGAAGCAGATGCACTCAAGATGGAGATTATACCCAACCCTAAGGTATCAGTTTCTGCTTGTTTAGCATGCGTCCAAGGTGGACGGGGTCAAGGTTCTTCAACTTGAAACTGCTGCTGGTGCTGCAATTAAGTCTTGATATTTTTTGTATTCTTGGTGATCAAGATTACTCATTACCATTTTATTCCACCAGTTCTTAGACCGGGCTATTGGTGTTAATGTTCCTCGATCTCGTTTCCTTCCGGTGAAAGCAACTTCAGATCTGCTGCTTAATTGCAACCTGGGATTGTGTTGATTTCTGATAATATCCAATCCAATTAGCTCAAGTGATATGTAGTGTGCTCATTCATCTTTTTGTCTTTGCAGTCTGATCTTTACACCTTGACTGATGAAGGCTATGTTATCCGGAATCCGGTCAGGTCTAATCCAGCTATCGAGTTGGGACCTGAATTCAACAAGGTTAACATCAACTCCTCAAGTAGATTAGTGCTGTTGGCTGAATGCAGTTACTATCTTGTCTTCTTAGGTGGCCAACTTCTTAGGTCGTTTCAAGTCTATTCCCAGCATCATTGATCTAGATAGCTTAGGGTGATGTATGGTTTGGATCTGGAGTTACTCTTAAGGTAATTAGCAAATATTTGTTCTGTTTCGCTTATGCTCCCATGTTGACGACAATATTATCCTATTTTTGTTTGTGTTAATTTCTGAATCTAATAGCGACTTACATCTTCTGACTTTCCTGTTGCTGCTAGAAATTCCAGATGGTGCTGTGATTGCAAACAAGGTAATACAGTCATCTAAACTCCTAATGGAGCTAGCAGATTTAGATTTAACGCCGTTACATCAATTTCCAGGATATCAATGGACCTGAGGATATATAGAGGAGCTACTGGTGCTAAATAGATTTAGCGAGTCTGCAGCAAGTACATTTTGTTTGTACTGAATGTAATTTTGCCTCTAAATTTAAATAAGTGAACAGTTTTGATTGTTTGCTACAGAAATCTTCATTGTATACATTATGGAACTCGATATAGTTTGTTTCTTCATATTTCTGTAGCCATATTCTTCTAATGTCCGTACTGTTGGAGCTGTGATACCTTATTGTTAACTTTTCACTTAAAAAAAAATAGTATATGATAAATCTCCTATATGTTTGAAGTAACATCAACAGATGTTTTCGTTATATGATTTTCTGGGATCTTTTTATTCTATTCAAATTTTAAGTGGCTTTTGTTGGATTTTCTTTATTCTATTCCAATTGTAAGTGGCTTGAGAGATAATTTTCGTCTCAAAACTTGTCGACTGGGTAAGATGGTTGGGTTTCAATGCATAATATGCAATTATGCATACGCCTAGTGCAATTAATCAATCAACCTACACTTCAATTAGAGACCAATTGAAATCCAATTATATAAAACTTCTATATCCCTGATAATGTGCTATAAATCAATAAACTAACTACACTTCAATTGGAGATAAATTGAAATGAACTAATATAAAATTTCCATATCTACCTAACCCTATTCAAGCATATATATATTGCGGAAGCCAAATGTATATAGTGTGAATGAGTCACAACTACTATACCAAAAAAATATGGCAGCCACTAAATAATAAATAAGACAATAAAGCAACAATAAAAGGAACACCAGAATTTACAAGGTTCAGCCAACTTTGCCTACTCCTCGGACACAACCAATATTTTATTCCACTCCAAAAATACAAGTGAAATACACTAAAGAGAGAAGATACAAATGCCTTAAACAGATAAGAAGGCAAATGAGAGACGTATTTAAATCCTAAATATTAGGCCTTCTTTTATAGGGAAAATCCCAACCAAAAATCTTCTACCCACCGATGTGGGACAAATTTGTTTTTGACATTTTCAACAAATCTCCACCTTGGCAAAAATTCCACATCTTCAATTTTCTCTCTATAACAAATTTTGGTTGTGTCTTCATCTTCAATTTTCAGTGTTCAACAATGTTGATCAAATCAAACAATGTTGAAACTTGACCGCAGTCACCACTTTTGTCAGCATATCAACAGGATTCTCTGTAGTATGAATTTTCTTCACTGTGACTCCACCTTCTTCTATGATTTCTCGTACAAAATGATATCGAACATCAATGTGCTTCGTCCTTGCATGATAAACTTGGTTCTTCGCTAATTGAATAGCACTTTGACTATCACAAAAACTTGTGATACTTTTGTTTCCAATACCAAGCTCCTTTAGCAACCCTTGAAGCCAAATTGCCTCCTTCACAGCTTCTGTAATAGCCATGTACTTTGCCTCTATTGTAGACAAAGCAACTGTTGACTGCAAAGTAGACTTCCAACTAACTGGTGCCTTTGCAAAAGTAAACACATAACCAGTAGTTGATCTTCGTTTGTCCAGATCACCCGCAAAATCTGAGTCACAATATCCAACTACAGACTGATTGTCTTCCTGCTCAAAAACTAACCGAACATCTACAGTATTATGAATATACCGTAGAATCCACTTCACAGCTTGCCAATGCTCCCTTCCCGGATTATGCATATATCTGCTAATAACTCCAACAACTTGTGAAATGTCAGGTCTCGTACAGACCATTGCATACATCAAGCTACCAACAGCATTTGCGTACGGTACCTTTGACATATACTCTCGTTCAGCTTCATCCAATGGCGAGATAGTAGTACTTAGCTTAAAATGGGGAGCAAGTGGAGTACTAACTGGCTTAGTCTTGTCATCTATGCCAAAACGTTGTAGTACTCTCTTCAAATATTCTTTCTGAGATAAACAGAGTTTCTTTGAACATCTATCTCTTATTATCTCCATGCCAAGAATTTTCTTTGCCTCACCCAGATCCTTCATCTCGAACTCCTTCTTCAGTTGAATCTTCAACTTATCAATTTCTTCCAAATTCTTGGAAGCTATCAACATATCATCAACATATAGGAGAAGATATATAAAGGAACCATCTTTAAGCTTGCGCAAATACACACAATGATCGTATTTGCTTCTTTTGTACCCCTGCTGCAACATAAACTTGTCAAATCGCTTGTACCATTGTCTAGAAGATTGTTTCAATCCGTACAATGATTTTTCAAGTTTGCACACCATATTTTGCTTTCCAGCAACTTTGAATCCTTCTGGCTGAGTCATGTAGATTTCCTCCTCCAAGTTTCCATGTAAAAACGCAGTTTTTACATCCATCTGAACTAGTTCCAAATCCAACTGTGCTACCAAAGCCAACATAATTCTAATGGAGGAATGTTTTACAACTGGAGAAAACACTTCATTGTAATCAATTCCCTCCTTTTGAGCATATCCTTTGGCCACCAATCTTGCTTTGTAGCGAACATCTACTTGGTTAGGAAATCCTTCCTTCTTTGCAAATACCCATTTGCACCCAATTGCTTTCTTTCCCTTCGGGAGATTGGCCAATCTCCATGTATGATTCTGATGAAGGGACTGTATTTCATCATTCATGGCAATCCTCCACTTATCTTCTTCTGAACTTTGGACTGCGCCTTTATAAGTGGTAGGAACATCATCAGCTACAATTGAGGTTGCACAAGCAACTGCCTCTATAAGACGAACAGGTTTCGTTATTGTCCTTTTTGGCCTGCTGGTTGCTATTGATTCAAGTTGTTGTTGAGGTTCCTGAGTTGGAATCTCCTCTACTGGCTCTCCTTCCAGAGGATAATCTTCATTGGAAAAATAAATTTTCCCTCAAACTCCACCTGCTTAGAAGCACCATCATCTTGTTTGGTATCTTTACTTGTTACCTTATTTACCATAGCAGATTCATCGAAGGTAACATCCCTGCTGAATATTACTTTCTTTGTCATAGGACACCATAAGCGATATCCTTTGACTCCAGAAGTAATCCCCATAAAATTAGCCTTCTTTGCCCTTGGATCCAATTTTGACTCTGTCACATGATAATATGCAGTTGAGCCAAACACGTGCAAAGAGTCATAATCTACAGTAGGCTTTCCATACCATTTTTCAAATGGTGTCTTGCCATCAATAGCAGCAGATGGTAGACGATTAATGAGGTGGCATGCATATGTAATTGCCTCAGCCCAAAATTCTTTGCCCAAGCCAGCATTGGACAACATACACCGTACCTTCTCCAGCAAGGTCCGGTTCATACGTTCTGCCACTCCATTCTGTTGTGGTGTATGTCTGACAGTGAAGTGTCGGACGATGCCATCATTTTCACAGACCTTATTGAAATGATCATTTTGTATTCACCTCCATTGTCTGTGCGAATACACTTGATCCTCCTGTCTATTTAATTCTCCACCATCGTCTTCCATTTGAGAAAAATTCCCAGCACTTCATCTTTGCTCTTCATTGTATACACCCACACTCTTCGGGAAAAATCATCAACAAAGGTTACAAAATAGTTCTTCCCACCCAATGAAGGTGTTTTGGAAGGACCCCAAACATCAGAGTGTACATAATCCAAAATGCCTTTAGTATTATGGATTGCTGTACCAAATTTAACCCTTGTCTGTTTCCCTTTGACACAATGCTCGCAAAACTCCAAACTGCAAGCCTTTACTCCCTTTAACAATCCTTGATCTGATAGAGTTTTCAAGGATTTTCCTCCAGCATGTCCCAACCGCATGTGCCATAGCCTGGTTGTTTATGCCTCTTTATCGTCACTGGACGTCACTGTCGTTGTTCTAATAACTGTACTACCACGATAGTGGTACATGTTATTGTATTTCCTATTAGCCTTCATTACCACTAGTGCACCAGAGCATACTCTCATCACTCCATTTTCTGCAACGATTTTGAACCCTTTTGATTCTAGGGCTCCCACAGAGATGAGATTCTTCTTCAAATCCGGTACATATCGAACATCTGTTAATGTTCTGATCATTCCATCATGGTTCCTTAATCGTATTGAACCAATGCCATATGAGGTAAGAGGGCTGTTATCCGCTGTGTGGATGACTCCATATTCTCCTTCTTGAAATTCAACGAACCAGTCCCTGTTGGGACACATATGATAGCTACAAGCCGAGTCCATCAACCATATGTCAGATGATGTTGATGACTCTATTGTAACTAATGAGAAGTTTGAATCATCACAATCAGCTACATTTGAATCCATAATGGCCTGGAATCATCACAATCAGCTACATTTGAATCCATAATGGCCTTTCCATTGTTATGTTTGGCCTTATTCTTCAACTTCGGACAGTCTTTCTTCCACGACAAAAGGCACATTCATCTTTGCTGGGTCTAGATCTTGACTTGGATCTTCCCTTCTTTGTCCTCATTTGATTTTGAGGATGACCCCTCACAACCAGTGCTTCTCCTTCTCCGCCCTTCTGTTTTTCTCCCTTTCTTTGTTCATAGTTGTACAAAGCCGAACAAACTTCTCTAAGAGAAACTTCATCATTTCCATGGAGTAGAGTAGTTTCAAGGTGCTCGTACTCATCAGGAAGTGACGCCAACAACATCAAGGCCAAGTCACCATCATCAAAAGTTGTATCCATATTTTGCAAATCTGTGACCAACTTATTGAAACTGGTGATATGTTCATTCATCGTGGTACCAGGAACATAGGTGAAGTGAAACAGTCTCTTCTTCATGTACAATTTATTT